TATTGGGTCAAACGTTGTCTCATCTGGTGCTAGACTTTATTGGGTCAAACGTTGTCTCATCTGGTGCTAGACTTTATTGGGTCAAACGTTGTCTCATCTGGTGCTAGACTTTATTGGGTCAAACGTTGGACTCGGTGCTAGACTTTATTGGGTCAAACGTTGTCTCATCTGGTGCTAGACTTTATTGGGTCAAACGTTGTCTCATCTGGTGCTAGACTTTATTGGGTCAAACGTTGGACTCGGTGCTAGACTTTATTGGGTCAAACGTTGTCTCATCTGGTGCTAGACTTTATTGGGTCAAACGTTGTCTCATCTGGTGCTAGACTTTATTGAGTCAAACGTTGGACTCGATTCTTGACTTTATTGGGTCAAACGTTGTCTCATCTGGTGCTAGACTTTATTGGGTCAAACGTTGTCTCATCTGGTGCAAGACTTTATTGGGTCAAACGTTGTCTCATCTGGTGCTAGACTTTATTGGGTCAAACGTTGGACTCGGTGCTAGACTTTATTGGGTCAAACGTTGTCTCATCTGGTGCTAGACTTTATTGGGTCAAACGTTGTCTCATCTGGTGCTAGACTTTATTGGGTCAACCCTGCCGGACACTGGTGAAAGTATATGTTTTCTATATAAATTCTATATAAATTCGTTCCGGGGGGGGGGGGGGGTACGGTAGATTTTCTTCGGCGGGATGGGGGGGGGGCTCCGCCCCACCACAGAGAAGCCTGGAAGAAACTCTGGTATCAACCTATGCACACCCTCTCCTCCACGACCAACACCACAAGTTTCAACCTTCATCTACCGCCCATCTAACTCAGTCGTATGGTGACGTGATACAGGACGTAAAAAATGCTCTTTTTTCATCTTTTTATTTTTTTTCATTCAAGAGCTGGAGCAAAAAAAAAATAATCGACAACTGAAAACCCCAACCCCATTCTCACTCTGTGCGACAGGCTAAAACCCCAAGTCAACCCCTCACTTTGTACTAAACACGAAAACCCCAACCCCACCCCTCACAGAACGACAGACGAAAACCCTAAGCCCAACCCTCACTTTGTACGATTGGTTTCTAAACTTGGGATACCCCGGGACAATATGTGGGCATTGTAAGCCCGTCCCCGCGACTGCTTTCTTGTACGTCCGCGCATCGATCTGCTTCTCCCACTCTCCCCTCTCAAATACCAATCACACCCCGAATATAGACCTATTTAAAGATAGCTCTAACAAACGCTTTCATTAGCTGCAGCCGATAGGGCTGGTTTAAGTAGACAATACGAGACTCCCCCCCCCCTCTCGAAGTTTTAGTTTGTTATTTATTCCAGAAGTAGTTGTGTTCATAGCTCAACCCGTGTACTAGCCCACGTTCTGCAGTCTGCACCAGTCGGCTACTTACAGTAGCGTACGCAGGGGGGGGAGCAGGGGGAGCGGCCGCTCCCCCTCTGGCCATTTTCAGCAAAGTGGCGCCTTTTTGGAAACTTTTTAAACTCAGTTTTAAACAATGATATTTGTTAAAAAAATATTTTTGGTCGGCACATCTATGTAAATCACAAGATTTCTTTTCATGCAGCAATTAAGCATTATTGTACTAGTCTAGTAGTGTCTACGTTTACAACACGTATTAACAGCTGCATCAGTTTGCCATTCTAAAAATAACCATTACGATGCATTGCAATGTTTAAAAAACCTCTACGGTAGTACCACTTGGCAAGAGGGGTGTTAAGTTTAAGGCAACTGTATAATGTATTTGATTACGAATAATTCAATTAGAAGATGTTATACACAAAACTTAACACATAATTACTTTATGTATACAGTTTGAATCGTGTGATTAATTTTTAAAAAATTACAATACAGAAACAAATACAACTGATGTGGCACCTCTATTTAAATTTACTTATGAGCAACGTAGTGGTGAGGAAATTTTGACAAGGTCAACAACGTCATCACGATGAAGTAGTGATTACGATTACAAATTATATGAAACAGTCACAACCCCCCTCCCCCATGGACCCATCTGTAAAAAAATATTGTAATAATACCACTGCTACTTATTTAAATCTATTTCTGTAATATATATTTGTGTAAAATATATAAATATTTGTGTAATATATATGTATGTTTAAAACAGTCTTCTAAAAACTGACGCTATGTTCACTCTCTCCACCCCCCCCCCCCCCCACACACCTCACCACCACAATTGTGTAGAGCGACATTAATGTCACACCTAGGTATACACTGGGTTGGATAATTGACCTAAAGTGAACGGACAGTGGTGAATGAAGTTGAACCCTGTAATTCTGAATGTTTCTCTATTATATCGAAAAGCGTGATTTTATTCCAACTCTGATTTTAAAAACTTTCATTATGCTGTAATACTTTAGCATTTATGATGAAGATATATTAAATTCTGATTATAGACAAAAACATTTTGTAAACGCGAATAGTGTTAAACAATTTCATTATATTCTAAAGTAATTATTTATTTATTTTGACATTTATAAATTAGATGTGTAGATATATACATATTTATATTAAGAGGGTGATTATTTCCCCTATTTCACTTGTCTCTATATATAATTCTCTTCTTGGAGACGTTAGAAAACAAGCTGTAAGCGCGCCTTGCAGTCCCCTCTCTTCTTCTCTAAGAAGTCTGGTGGGCTATGATTCACGCTAAATGTTTACATTCGTAGAGCCGGGTTTAGTGACGGCTATAAGGGGCAGATAATTTAGTTTGAAACGATTTTCAACTTAGGGGAGGTAGCTAAGAGGAGGCTGCTTTCACGGTGGCGGGGGGGGGGGGGGGTGAGGGGGGGGGGTTTAGGGGTTGGGGGAAAGGAGGGGGGGGTTATCGTCCTTAACGACTTACTGATAGTGTTTTAAAGCAAATATTTTCAGTGACAGCAGTGGTACTGTCGAATTCACAAATTATGAATTACTGAAAAGTAGAAAATAAAACAACTAAATAGCGGCGTATGATACGCCGTGGGTTGGCTCGTCTTAAATAATTTCCTAGGAATTATTATGTAAGAATTTTTTTTACAAGAATTACAAAACAGATTGTGTTACGTTCATTGTTTTTGATTGTAGTGTGTGTATATATATATATATATATATATATTGTTTAGATTGATACAATTTTTGTTTTGTCGGACTACATTGTGTGTTTTTTCTTATTTCTTCAGAGTGCTACTTTCAATTTATTTTACATCATAGCGAAGTAATGACATACAGCTAGTAGTGATATATATATATATATATATATATATATATATATATATATATATATATATAATACACGTATATAGAAGGTGTTAAAAATTCGGCGCCTTTTTTTGCTCTTTTCGCTCCCCTTACAACGAAAACCTGGATACGCCTCTGGCTACTTATAAACTAGACACGAGACACAGCACGTGTTGACTGGGTAACTATTGACCATGTTTATAGTCTACAGATGGGAGGGGGTGGGGAAGGGCGAGGTGGGGGCGGAGAGGGTAAGGGCTGCCCTAACAACAGATGATGGGTGGGGGGCGTGGTGGGGAGGGAGGGGCTGCCCTAACAACAGATGATGGGTGGAGAGGGCGTGGTGGGGTGGGGGCTGCCCTAACAAGAGCTGGAGAGACAGCGTCACGTTCAGAAAGCAAGGAGAATTGGCAGGATCGTGAGACTTGACTAGCAGAACCAGACCGACAGGAACCAAATATTAATTACTTCTTTCTTATGCCTGGGCACCTGGTCTGGCCACACAATTGGCAGACTGGTCAGTCCTTCTAGCACTCATGCATGGGCCAGTTCTTGAGACAATTCTTTAGAAAACCTGCACTGGTCAGTTCTTTAGACAATCTGCACTGGTCAGTTCTTCCAAACAAATTCTAAAATGATCAGTTATTCTAGTCAAACCCACACATGCCAAGGTTTTGCACCAATCCTATCAACAAATCATTTAAACATGCTGGTAAAATATAAAAAAAAACACACACCACTTCAGATTAATTCATTATAAAAATGCATAAAAAACCTTTAAATAAAGCAATAAATAAAATAAAATAATGGATTTTCTTTATTTATATAATAATACACTACTGTTTAAATATTAAAATATCTATTGGTTACCTTAACTAATATTTAGGAAGAGATCGACGATTTTCTTTATAGTTATTTAAATAGTAGTGTATTACTATATATATTTAAAAATTTTAATACAATAGAGTTGCATGACTAAAACCTACTGCGCACCAAATGGACATTATAATGCGCGTATAATAGTACTGGATTGTAGTAGTAGGATACACTACTAATTTCAGTAATTGTAATTAATTCATAAAAAATTAATTAGGCACCCAATAAAGTCAAATTTAATGTCAGATTGCATTGTCTTCGGGCCTCGACCCACTTGCTGAATTTAAGAGAAATTATTAGTTGGTTCGAAGTGCCCAAAATTTCGCTCGCCCGTTTCGATCTATGGTGATAGAGGAAGCAAGTTAAATAGATCAATATTCCAGTATCGATATTTGAATAAATTTTCAACTGCAATATTTATCAATATTATTTTCCCAAACCAATATTTTACATCAATTTTCCTACATAGATATTTGAAATGAATGACATTTGATTATCAACATTACAATCGTTGACAAACATATAATTATGATTAATTAGTTTTGTTGCTCCCTGGAGTCCATAAAACCTGAAGTTTAACAATTATTTCATATCATTAACAAAACACATAATTTTGATATATTGAAATTTGTTTTTGTCTTGTAATTTTATGCAAATCTCAATCCAACTTTTGTAATTTGCCATGCACGTGCGATTTAATTTATTTTATGGCCTAAATTGTAGCTATTTGCTGCAGCATGTTGCTTTTTTTTTTTTTTTTTTTTAATGTAGATAGAATTGTTTGCCAACAAATCTACCGTATCATTACACTATAAAATTTACCCTAATGATTCTAGTTTTCCCAATTTGTGCAGCCAATGGAGGCGACCGTTTGGAGCTTGCCTCACATGACGCCCTGCCTGTCAGGCTGACGGCCAGGGAGTCGGTGCTCGTGGACCACACGACGGAGCACGCCCGGGGTGTTGAGCTGGGAGTGATGTGCCGCACCCCCGGGCTGTAGTAGCCAGTGGACGTACGATGACCAGCACTCACTGGAAGCGACTGTCCACCCTGGTCATTGGATTAGCCTTAGTGCACTGCGCGCGCTGTCTGCCGGAGTTACTCAAGCTGGGTGAGTACTGAGTGCTGTGAGAGTGCTGAGTGCTGTGAGAGTGCTGAGTGCTGTGAGAGTACTGAGTGCTGTGAGAGTACTGAGTGCTGTGAGAGTACTGAGTGCTGTGAGAGTACTGAGTGCTGTGAGAGTACTGAGTGCTGTGAGAGTACTGAGTGCTGTGAGAGTACTGAGTGCTGTGAGAGTACTGAGTGCTGTGAGAGTACTGAGTGCTGTGAGAGTACTGAGTGCTGTGAGAGTACTGAGTGCTGTGAGAGTACTGAGTGCTGTGAGAGTACTGAGTGCTGTGAGAGTACTGAGTGCTGTGAGAGTACTGAGTGCTGTGAGAGTACTGAGTGCTGTGAGAGTGCTGTACTGAATGCTGTAAGAGTACTACACGAGTACTGACTGCTGCATGAGTACTGAGTGCTGTAAATGTGCTGTACTGAGTGCTGTGAGAGTACTACACGAGTACTGACTGCTGTATGGGTGATGCACGATTGCTTCAGAAGTGCTACACGAGTACTGAGTGCTGTGCGAGTACTGAGTGCTGTGCGAGCTTTACACGAGTACTGAGTGTGTGTACTTTTCAGACATAGAACACACTTGTGGTTTGTGATTGTGTTGTGTGTGCTATGTTTATATAGTTTGTGTGTGTTAGGGTGTTAATATATGTATAATTTGTGTGTTGTACAAATTACTTCGTTCAGACTCTACTATCAACCAACCTTTCCACTCCTACTATTCTTGTCTAATATCTGCATATCATAGTATTTACGGTTTTGTTTCAGGAAATACAAGGTTTTGATATACATGATTTTTTTTAAAGTTAACACAGGAAATTTGATATTGTTTTTTCTTTTATTTTCACCGCTGAATCCCTCGCTTTATACAGAACGCACCCACTTGTGTTTATATCTTCTATTTAAGTTCATCTATGCTTGAAATGGCTTTTGTTCAAGTGAACTTCATTCAGACAAAATATCCGTCGAACGATTGTCTGAATATCTCTCCGGGTAATCTCAAAACGGGGCTTGAAAGGTTGAAGAAGTGCAATCCAACTGCAAAAAATATAATTCCTGCGGAGAAAAAACTCGCAGGCCGAATAAAAAGACGCGTGTATGATTGTGGAGAAAAGACGGTGGATTGGTTGATTGGGCCGGCTGACCACAATCGCGTGGGGCTGTGTCCAAAAGCAGCGCCCGTCCCTGCGGCCCGTCCCTGCGGCACGTCCCTAGCCTGGCTTACACCGAGAAAATATTCGAGGCACGTAGGTCGGGGATCCATCGTGCGCAGCGCGGACGTCTCGTACAGCCGCAGCATCAATCTATACAGAATGCTTTTCCAATATTGCATTAGCCACCTTTCTCTCCCACAAGACAATTACCATTCTGCCCCACCTTGAGCAGCTAAGCTCAGTTTTTCAATTCCCCTCCAGACTTTGGAGCGTCACCGCCAACAAAAACCCGCCCCAAACGACGACTTGCTCTCAGATATGCCCACGTGCCGGTTATCTTTCCAAATCACGGAGTAATTAACGAAACTAAGTTTGGCCACAGCTCCATTATTTTAATTACAGCAGCCACAGATAATTGTCCCCAGCCCTTCTTCGCTCGGGGTCAAATTCTTTGACCTCCTGCTTGTCGAAGGGTAGACTCCAAATGGCTAGGCAGAGTTCTCTAGGCTGCGGCTAGACTACAGTGTGGGAGTAGGCCGCTTTAGCGCTGTACTCGAGGCTGTGCGAGTTACTGCAGGCAGTAAATTAACAACTTCACACACGAGAGATCTCGACCTAGTTTATTTCCAGCTACGTCATGCGTTGTCATTCAAAGAAACACTTTCATAAACTACACCAAACTTTTCTAAACGTTTGAAAACATTCCTTGGTGCCAACAAAAGATAAAAAGTGATGATTGGATAAGTACTTGAAAAATGTGGAGTCTTGAAGCCAATTGTTGGCTCCGTACCTTGATGGTGATCAGAGTTACGAGTTACTGTCATAGAACGTTCATGGTTTGTAAAAAAGTGCCACTGGTTTAAGATAACTCTGGGTTCACATCCTGAGTTTAGCTGGGTTGTCTGGCTCTACGCTTACGTCTTGGGGTTAGAAAAAGTGCAAGCCATCTCACACCGAGGTCGTTTACCAATCCAGTTTGAAATTCCAATGTACACACCGCCTTCCCTCCCCCCCCCCCCCCAGCATTCCTTCTGTCCTAATTTGATTACACTTCACCTCATTGGTAAGAGCATCTGTTTATTGACAGCCCTCTCGTACGTCCTCTTGCGTTACACGGCGCATACATCTGGCGGGCTGGGCTGTCAAACCCATCCCCTCCACACAGCTTATATTTGAAGTAGCTCTAGGCCTCGAACCCGTCCCAGCTCTAACTTACAGCTCGTGTCAGTAGATCTGTAGTGTGGGATATTTCATTGCGAGGTGAAGGTCGAACATGTCAATAGAACTCAGTGTCTGATGTGAGCTACATCTATGCTAGGCATGCTAGGTGTCTGACACTTAGGACTGGGTGACGCATTATGACGCATGACTCTGGGATCTGATGCCTTAAGAGACATCACGTTGAGATAAAACTGACGCATTGGGAGTCATGATTCAGGGAGTGACGCCCTGAGACGCAGGGGTTGAAACAGTTAGTGATGTTAATGTCTTTAATTCCAGGCCTCTGATGTCAGGAGCCGAGCGATGCTTGTCTGGACGCTCATCTCCCCTGTCCGTGGACCTGGCCGGCAATTCACTGGCCTCGTCCTTTCATCTTCTCATCAAAGTGTGGGGGACGTGTCGTGGGAGGGGGTTGGTATTGAATGAATTTTATTGGAGGTGGGGTAGACATTGGGAGGTGTGGGGGGGGGGGGGAGAAAAGACCCGGATAGCGATGGGTTGAATTCAAACAGTTTTCATCTCACACAGAATGGACATAACTAGCTGAGTGATATCGGCAAGAAATCGATGGATTTGTGTGTGTGTGTGTGTGTGTGTCTATATGTGTGTGCATGTATGTCTGTGTGTGAGAGCTTCTACACGTGTGTGTGTATTTGTGTGTGGGCAGTGTGAGTAGGGTTGAAGAAAAGCTTTTTTTCTCACACAACTTGCGAACAGCGTCGAATGATTGTATCTCTGTCGTCTGCTGTCGTGAACTTTTTGTCGTCAGGCAGATCTAGCAGGCGTAGGGCTGACACCTTGCAGCGGAGGCGGGAAATTTGACTTTTAAATTTCTATTTATAATTCAATTTCATTTTTAAAAATTATAATGAGATACACGTACTATCTAACATTTTAATTAAATGTGTAAATTATTTTATTTCCTTTAAAAACATTAGCAGCTTACTGGCCATTGGTTACTGTTGTTAAAGCACTGACCATTTGACCCCCGCCCCCCTTAACGTAGTTGCTATAGAGATCATTCGATGCATGTCATCTTTCTGTATGTAAAATGTACCTTTAAATTTAGTGAATGCAATCGCTACAAAGTACAACTTTAACTATTTGATCTGTACACTGAACATTTGGCTTGGGAAATAAATCAGCTGATCTGTTAAATATAAAATTTATTAAAATAAACCAAAAACTGGCAGGGTCTATTCAACTATAACGGAGGTGAAATATACATTAAACAAAGTATAATTAAGGTCATTGCTCCACGCAGGTCTTCAATCGCCTAATGCCGGCAGGTGATTGATTGTTCCCTCTCACACTTCAGGACGGGTGCATCACAAAACAAAGTTTACAAAACCTGTTTTAACCCCCTGAGTGGGCGCCATTTTTCTTCAAGATGTATGATACATCTGACAAGACGAAACTAAGTTGTGTTGCCACGTGACCTTGAGGCCCTGACCTTCACCCCTGCTCATTTGTTTGATTGCGGCTAGATCCTATATCATACGAGCATGGGGTGCACACAAATCCGAAGGTTGAGTTTTTTTTACACGTGATCTCACGATTTTTCGCGAGATCTCACGCTGATAAATTTTGGATGCCAATAAATTTTTCCTGTGCAGGTTGCATGGAACTTACAGCACCATCACATAATCTTTATAGCAATCTTGAGCTAACTGTACACAAATTCACATAAATCGAAGGTAGCATATCTCAGCCAACAAAGATGCACTTTAGCAGTTTGAAGGTGAATATATTGCAATAACACACGAATATGTATATAACAGTTACAAAGTGAATAGACTACAACCAACAAAGATGTACTGTAACAGTTCCAATGTAAACAATGGCTATGCACTGTTGAAACTGTGACAAACAAACAAGGGATATAACTCTTCTATCGCAACTACTCAGTACTGTAAACACGCAATTAAAAGCTCAGTGAAAATTAAATAGCCACATTTATTTAAGCTTACGGATTAGCGAAAAGCTCTGTTTATGGGAAGAATTAGGAAAATGAAAACTGATTTTAGATTTGTTTTTTTATTCTTGTTCTAGGTTTATGAGCATCAGCGAAAAAAAGAGAAATTTGTAAATATGTACACTGTGAATGTTTATAGTGTGAATATTTATAGTGCATATCTCAAGATGTTACATGAATCTATTGTGTAATGGATTGCACGCCGTATACGCCTATTAGTGTCCTAATTACAGAAACATGCAGTAAACATATTATTATTTGATTTGATTGATAAAATAATTGAAGGCTTTAATATTTTCTGTCAAGTTATAGAAGAGGTAGTGTGGTGTTGTATGTGGTAGTGTGTGTGTGGGGGGGGGGTAGTTGGTGGTGTTGTATGTGGTAGTGTGTGGTAGAGGGTCGTGGTGTGAGGTAGTGTGTGGTAATTTCATGTAGTGTTTGGTAGTGTGATGTAGTGTTTGGTAGTGTGATGTAGTGTGTGTATATGCTATTGAAAAAACAAAAAATAAACATGACTAGTAGCTACATACAACCGGACCTATCAAAAACAAAAGTCACTGCAGAATGGAGATTTCAATGTTGTCTTCTGTTTCGGTTGTTATTTTTAAGCTAATACACATTTTAAAAATATCACAGACACTATGGATA